GCCCAAGAGTTCACATCTGAGCTATGACCTTTTGATGACAAATATCTTGAGAAAGCCTTTCTTCCCCCCCCCCCCTTCCCATCCCGAAATGACTCCTCAGTACTTGGTGCAGAAACCTCCAAACGGCCATTGTCAACAGGATCAGGGCCACCAACCAGATTCAGAGACTCGATTGAGCCTGTTTCCATGGCAACTGCTTCCCGTATTTTTATTTTTTTGATAATGCGTTAATCAAAGTAAAAATTCCACTTGTCCCTGCTTGTGTCCCAGTTGTAACTTATGTAGGTGTGTCTTCCTATATTTTATACTTAAACAGTGGCAACAGCATTATATTCATATATGAGATTTGCTTCAAATGAATAATGGTCACTCTCATAAAGAATGGTCTCCTCACTAGGTACGAAAACATGCCCTTTCCCTCCACCAATAACCCTATTTATCCATGGCATAATTTAATTTAAGGGTGGCATGGTGTGGCAGCACAGCTGCCTCACACCTCCAGGGTCAGAGTTTGAATCCCACCTCTTCTGTGTGTGTGTGTGTGTGTGTGTGTCAAGTTCTGTTGATGGCTGAGTTTCCTTTCGCAGTCCAAAGGTATATCTGGTGTCTCTAAATAGCTCGTAGTGTATGACTGTGTCAGCTTGTGCCCTGTGATGGATTTGCACCCTGTGCCGTCTGGGATAAACTCCTGGTTACCTTGACCAGGATAAGCAGTTGGAAGATGGATGGATGGGTTGATAAGTTTGTTCAGTTTCAAATACGCCCCGGCTCTCATTGATTTTAAAGGACCTGTTTCTTGTTGTTTTGTTACTTAGTTTCCTTTTTACATTTTGTTTAAAGATCTGGCATCCATTTCAAAGTCAGCAAGCCACACTTCGCAGCAGATTTTTTTTTCCAGGTACACCTTGATATTTCGGACACAGTTCATCTCATTATTTACGAGCTCTGATTTGTCATCTGCAATCTGTAATGTTGAGGTACTCATTCAGATATTGATTGGTCCATACATGTAATTATAAACATCAAACCGCATTCATTGCTCAACTGTGCAGATTTGTAAGCGAGATGAATGAAAGAGAGTGCAAAGGGACCGTGCTGACTTCTTCAGAGAAATGGAAAAATAATTGCTTGTGAAAATCTTGTTTAACCTGCTGAGTCGCTGTTTTCAAGGACTCATTTCAGGTAAAGAGAGACGGATAGAGTCTCCTCATTTAAATACACTGTGTGCTGCAGAGTTTGGCAACAGCAAGAATGAATTGTCGAGAAAGAATGAACTCGATGAAAAATTTGCAGTGCATAGACACCAGAAAGCTCAGCGGCACTGAGGCAGGGGTGGGGGCTCACCCTCTCATGCAGTCATAATTATGCGAATTTCCATGGCCTCTCAAATTGTGTGGCGTGAGAACGTTGTCACTCATATTTAATTTGGCTTAATGTTTGATCCAGTAACATAATTAAGTGTTTGGATGGAACAAAGGCCAGACGAATCCTTGGCACTAGCCGTCCTGAGCTTTGCTGGGGAATATTGAGAATCTCAGTATAAAGGGGAATATGAGAATTGAATCTGCTGTTTCCAGCTAATTACCCCATGTGGTTCATGTACTGCAGAGAGACCAAAATAATTAAGGCCAAAAAGATGTTTCTTCTTGCATAAAATGTGTTCGCATATTTTCAAGTTTCAAATAAAAAAATTTTTTTGGTGCCAAATCCTAATATCACCTTTAAAATGCTACCATTATTACTTTTTTTTTTTTTTTTTCCAACATCCATCTTTCTGCAGCTTATGCAGTTAGGTTGTGGGGCTTTTAAAAAAAATGTATAACTATAATGAATTTATGAGTATTAGTGATTTGTTGTGCCGCTGCACTTTTTATGCTGATTGGACATCATGGATTTACATATTTAGTAGAACTTTCCTTATCAAACTGAGAGGAACATTTTTTTTACTGGTAAATATTTCTGTATATTTTTTTCCCCAGGAGTATTTAGATTTTGGAGGCTTTGCTGTTTTTTGTTTTGTCCTCCTTTGCCTTTTATCACACCATCAAAATATGCATTACCGTCAGGTTGGGCCGGGGCAGCCTTGCAGAGTAATACCTGTGGGTGGAAAGTGAATACCAGGCACTCCCCTCACATTCGCTATTTTCTATTCCAAGGGTAGCCAGCGAAGGTACAGCTCGGCGATGAGCAAGCTCAGCTGAGGCGGCCATAACGGCTGACAGGGCTGCGAAGAGTTTGCCTGAACTTTTCCTGGAAGTCTTGACAGAGTTTGGAGGTTGAGGCGCACGAGTGGAGCTGCCCTCGTGTAGAGGCCCGCAAACTGCAATGCGTTCCAGCTGAACATCCACGCTCGCAGACCTGGGGGGGGGGGGGGGGTACCTTTATCGGCCTGTAAAGAACTCCCCGCTGCCCCCTTTGCCTGTTTCAGGCAGCAGTAATTGAAGGCTGCCTCAAATCTGGACTTTATCACAGCACTGCGGCCATGGGGGTCGCGCAGATAGGGAGGAACAGTGGGCAGCACACCCTAAAACGGAGTTATGGGCCCCGTGCCGGTATCGCAGAACGAGGAGGACCTGTTCTGCCAAATCTCCCACACCGGAATCGCACAGTGGGGAAGAAACCCTTTTTCAGATCCCTTTAATCACAAAGCAAATCCACGCGCTGGCTCTGTCGCTCTGTCTTCTTGCGGTGTTCTGCGTGTATATATGCATAGGCAGGCTTTCATTCTTCAAGGGATTCTGACAAAACAGCTATAAATACTTAATATGACAAAAATGTATGACATGTGGATGGAATATAATGTTTATGGAAATTAGGTTGCCGTGACACACATGGAAACACGACCCTGGATAACCGGAATGGATGGATGTGTATGACACACAGCACAGTGTTCAGATTGATAGCCGCCTCTGTGCCAATGTGAAAAGCATGACTTTTATGAGAGCGGTTCATCAACGTGTTTTGATTTTCATACATTCGTCTTTTTTTCGAATGAGATTTACAGCAGCCATAAGGTGCGAAACGCTAAGAAAATCGCAAACAAAATGAGTCAAAACGAAACACAATTTGTTTTTCCTTTTAAAGTTTTCTTAAATGTTTTTCTGTTTTCTAAATTCTTTTTTGTTTTTCCTTACAGTTTTGTATATTAGCCAGTGTGTTGTATTCAGCACTTTTGTAAAAACCTGGAAAAACTGTGGGCCCTGAAAGTATTATACATCCACTACCGAAGTTTATCATTGTTCATTTATTGTGTAGGACAGATAAGCTTAACTGTCATAACGAAGAAATCAAATATCCAAATTTAACTAGATGACTGGCCTACACTGTGGGTTTGGAAGGGAGTCTGGCATTAGCTGCAAAGTTATTTTGGTCTAGCTAGCATTGTTAAGTGTGGGAGACAGTTTCGTGCTGGTTAGCTTTGTGGGGTCTGTAGTGTTTCCAAGAAAAACTCCTGTGAACTACGAATAGGCACGAGTCAACCATCTGACCACAAAATCATTAGTTAGAGTATCAAACGCTCTTTGAATTGACTTAAAGTGACTGTGCCTGGTGGCAACTACAAAAGAATAAAATCGCTAGATGAAATACAGCTTAAGCCCTTAATTAGCCTGCTATATACCGCCCCCTGTGGCCTGGAGTACTGTTTAGAAAAAGTCACCTGGCTCTGAAATACATTAAGAAAATGGAAAAACACTCACCAAAACACAAAAAACCCATCTCTCAATTTTTTCGCATTTTTGTTGTTTTGTACTTTAGGGCCAGTGTAGACATTAGCTGTTTCTTGTCTGACTGCTTTTAAAATCTTCAGAATACACGGTTTGTATTTGTGTATGTGTGTGCTGGTGTTTATGTGCCTTTATTTAATTATTTAAACTTGACCAAACCACTAATTACCCTGGACCCTGGAAGCTATGTCAAATGGCTGTCAAATGTATTTCTTATTATAAAATTACTCTGCAATTTACGGTCAGCAGGTGAACACCTGAGTCCATCAATTATTTTTGTGTTCTCTTTGTTTTTTTCCTGCTAAATTTCCCTACTGATTATTGTAAGGTGGTTGTTAAAAGCAGTGTGACACGCGCTGCGTAGCACTCGTATCAAAAAGAAGTAATGACCGAGCCTGTAGCCTGAGACCGCAGCCTGTAGCCTGAGACCGCTGCAGCCTGTAGCCTGAGACTGCTGCAGCCTGTAGCCTGAGACCGCAGCCTGTAGCCTGAGACCGCAGCCTGTAGCCTGAGACCGCAGCCGTTTGACTCACACTGCTGTGCCTCATGTCTCGCGACAGGTGATTCAGATTAACTTTGAGGAGTTTGACCTGGAAATTGGCTACGACACGTTAACCATCGGAGATGGAGGGGAAGTCGGTGATCCCAAGACGATACTGCAAGTGTAAGCCCGTCAGCGTTTTTGTGGAACATGTACTTATTGGTGGCCGTCCTTGTACACTGGCCATTTTACCCATAAAATCACTACCCGGATTGCCGCTAATGTGTAATTATTAACTTATTAAGTTATATGTTGGGGGGGCAGAGCTAATCCCTGTCCCGTGAGGGTGAGTCAAGTGACCTCACAAGTTTTCACAAATGTGATCTTTCTTTCCTCCATTTTTTCTTTTTTATGCATGCCTGATTCTTTGCTTTACTGCAGCCAGGATGCTTTCCTGTGATGAGTTACATGACCATAAATACTAAGCAATTGGTTGGTTCGTCTGTGTCTTCAGCCTAACAGGCAGCTTCGTTCCTGACCTCATCGTCAGCATGACCCACCAGATGTGGCTGCACCTCCAGTCCGACGAGAGCGTGGGGTCTATTGGCTTCAAGATCAACTACAAAGGTAGGTCTCGGTTCTGGTGGCTCCTCCTGGCGCCCCCGTGAGTGCCAGGCATGGCATCAAGATCATCTCGAAAGGTCTGCAAATGCCCCCGCTTCGTGGCTTGGGAGATACTTAATGCTGACATGCTGGTGTTTATATCTCCCATAGTTTTATTATTTTCATGGTTATTTATTCAAAATTCATGCTCTCCTCTAAAGTAAATAAACGACATTTCAGGTAGGTCCTTGTGAGTTCTTCACCGTTCTCCTCATGCAGCTCTCCTGCCACTGACCGAGAACCCTTGGCTGGTGAAGTGTGTACCTTACTGCCGTTACCCTTGAAACTCATACTACGGCTCAGCCTGTGTCCGCCTCCAGCTACAAACTGGATGTGAATCGGCATGAATCAACACAAGAGGGGATTAATTAGGGGAGCCTTGCTTTCATCTGCAGTGTCTCATAAATATGTGTGTTTTTCGAAGGGAGCAGGCTGATCATTCTTTGGAGAAGCACCTTGGGAACCGAGATCAAGTGTGACATTTAACCTGCCGAGACCCCTGTACGCAGTTGCTCATTTTCAAGATGAATCTCTGTTTATTTGTTGATTCTCCTACCTCGCCGCCTACCCGCCTGCTTGCCGTGTAATCACAAGGATCGAATACCGACTGCTGAGCTGGTGACTGGTGTCATTTTTGACACCTTTTAAAGGGCAGAGAGTTCAATAAAAATATCTTCCTTTCATAGCAACATCTGACAACTAAAATACAGAAATTGAGATCCATATGGAAGTTATTACCTAAATCAGTTACTTTTAGGAGTCCCGGCTGAAGCTGGCTGGTTTTCATCCATCAAATACAAGCTATGTCCGCTGAACACAAGGTACAATTTCTATATACATATCTTTGATTATCTTCCCCTTGCTCAAGGTTTTGTAATAAATTAGTGTCTGGGTGATGAATAGCATGTCATCCCCTTTAATGAAGGCAGGAGAGTTAGGTGGAGAGAGAGGGGAAATTCCTTTGAGTTGGAATACACGAAAAAAGGAATAAATAGATTAACCGCCATCAGTGTATAATGCTCCTGAAAAAAGAGGAAAGTGCGATTTGAATTAGATTTTGCCCAACATTACCATTCATAACGATAAATGCTTGCCGTGTGCCACGTGAGCAGTCATTTAAGAGACAAGGCCTTACAGCATCCATTTATTTCACCTAACAATGGGAACAGGAAGCTCAAATGGAATCCCGCCTAGTTTCAATAACTCCAGCGTTTGGGTTTTACACATGTGTGCATGCGCTTGACAGGTGTCCTGACGGATGAGGAACAGGCAGTGAGGAACACACCATGCGCATTGCGCGTTTGCACTAGCAAGGCACTCTAGGTCTGAATATCCCCCCGTGATAACTGGTGAGAGCTATTTACCTTCAACCATATGTATCCAAGAACCTTCTTTGAAAGAAAAATTGCTGTAAACGCAATTATAAATACATTTGATCCTTTTCAAAAAGGAATTGGTGGGAAATAGGCAGGATTGTTAATTGGTGCAGGGTTATGTTAACAAGTGTTTTGAAAGCCTGGAAAAATGTCATAAATTGCTGTTCTACTGGGAAAATAGTCTCCAGGTAGTGCTGAGTTCCATTAGGGGTTTATTGTAAAGAATTTCAGTGAGAAAATGACAATAAAATATTAGCCTGAAGAAAGTCTTGCAAAACAGAACATTATTGATAGCAAATAGATAATCTTTCCTGGATGTTTTTGAGAGTGATTCATCATCATACAGCTGCTGTCTCATCTAAGAAATATCCCATCTGTATAGCTATTGTTTTGTTTATATAATGGAAATCTGATGTCATTACTTTTGAAAGATGGGTCCTGGTTGGATTTGTGGTAACTGAAAAGGTATGGCTTTGTTTTCTTTTTTGTGATTATTTTCTCCAATCGTTATGCTGGACAGCAAATTATAACGGAATAAATCACAATGAAAGTCTATGGGAGCATTCCTCTTGGGGTTCATGAAATGAGTAATTCCTACCTCAAGTAATATTATATTGTACTATTTTACTTTACTTTCATTGTATGCTAGCAGTCTCTCTCTGTAAACTTGTCTCTTCACAGTACGTTGAAGTTCCATGTTCTCTTTAGAACAGAATAATTCACATTGTGATGTGTAGAACTGGTGAAAATGAGCTTGGTATCTCAGTGGAGCAATCTTGGAGGAGTCGATCTGGCCACTGTGGGCAAGGGGCGGGCCTGGCTGAGCCTCGTGGTGGGAGTGATCAAAAGCACCTGAAAGAGGCCAGGCTTAAATATCACAATATACTCTGAACTGAGCTGCTGTCCTGCAGTGAAAATCGATCCATTTCGACGCGGGATAACAATCGCAAAAAAGGCAACTTTATGATAGTCATGAGCAAGTGCATCAGAATGGAGCAAGAATTTTGCTTTTAGATTTATACTTTTATTTTCAGTATATTATAGTTCTCTGGCAAATCAGCAACATGATTCTAAAAATAAAACACCAGGCTTCACCACAGGGAGTCAAACTCAGTTTGCTCAAGAGAAAACATGTTTCTTTACATTTATGAGTTTCCCCAGTAGTGATCTCACAAATGGAGCATGATACATGGTGTTTTTACTCATGTCTTTGGCATTTTGTTGCCTGGATATTATATTAGTGCCATTCAACTTGGCTCAGGACCGACTGAGCATATACTAATGGGATCAGGGTGCAATTCTACAGGCTGCCTCAGGAGGCAGCAGAACCAGTAAGTAAAGAGTCACATGATGAGTGGGTACATTTTCAGTAATACTGTATAGTGATATTTAAAAAAACAATTGTGAGAGGGCGCCTCTATCCAGCACAATGCGGGGATTGACGTCCGTGACCAAATATTCAGCAGGCTGACTGTAACTAGGGAAGCCCATTAGAATAATGTATAATATATTTTTTGCAGAAGTGGAGATTGTAGACTCAGGCCCAAAATAGGATGCGGGAAGTGGGGAATAGAGGACCCGCCGCTTTTTATTATTGATAAAGAGTTTTATTAATGATGCGCAGAACAGGCCTAATATGATGCTCATTATTAAGCCAATTTTCTGTTGAGAAGCGTTACAGTAATTATCTCGGTGATTATTACCATTCAGGCAGACATTTTCTTTTGATGGTGGTCATGCTTCATGTGTTTGTTAAAGGGACACAAAGTGCCATTTGATGGAATGTATTTCTCATTTTGATCATTTTATAAGGTCATCTTAGCGGAACGGCGTATCTTTTGGCACAAATTCAACGCCCAGCCGGGTCCCGTCTGCTTCCGGGTGCTGTGGAGCCCAGTAGTTCCTCAGTCCATGTCTCTATGCTGCGGTTGCAGGCTTTTGGGCTTTTGGTTTTTCCGCAAGTACAGAAATAACAGCTCAGTACCACAGTGTGCAGAATGATTTGACCCTTGAATTGGTTTTAGAGACAGCAGTGGGACAAAATCCGATTCTAGCCGTGTACCTAGTAAATTAACCTCTGTGTGTGTGTCTATATATATATATATATGTATATATATATGTGTGTGTGTGTGTGTGTGTGTGTGTGCATATAGATATGTATTGGTTCTCTGGAGTGGGTTCAGGTAAGGAAATTCTATGATGTCATACAGAACATGAAAAAAAAGTACATTTTCTGCAGTGATTCTAAATGCAGGAAATGCAAGATTATGTGTCCATCTACAGATTTAAGGCCACCAGGATCCATTAGTGAAATATGTGGAACATTGATTTGGTTGCAAATTTAATATGTATTTTATGAGCCCAGATGAGATGTCTGGAAAATCGTGTGCTATTGATGAGATCTTAATATTCTTTTATATCAGCTAGAAATGGGGAGTTATGGTGTAATTTTGCCACTTCCCAGCGGTTATTTATCGTCTCGTGTCCACATTTTCTCTTTTTGGCCAGTCGTCTCGCAGTCCGCTGCGGTTAGCGTGTCGCTCTCGGGGGGCATTACCGTTTCCGGCGTTAGTGGTAACCGCTCCACACCGGACATTTATTAATAATTACAGTTGCCCGTGTGACATGGTACAAGCATCACACACTCCGTATTGCGGCCTCTGTGTTCATTTCTGTGTTTGACAAATTCGCGATGCGTTGACACCCACAGGATGGGCAGCCGCATTTTTTTTCGCCTTGTAAATAACCTCGTAACTCGTTCTCCCGAGGCGTGGCTGTCTTTCTGGTGAAAATTTCATCCGCTTTGCGTAGTTTCTGTGCCGTTCTCATACCCTCGGATATCATGTAAGTCTTTTTTTTTTTTTTTTTTGGTGGCTATAAGGAGTACATACTGTGCATACTTTTAATAAGAGGATGCTAATTAAAACTTTAAGCACAGTTTTCAAACGCTTCACCCAGGCTAGAGAGCCCTCTTGGTGCAATATTTTCAAAGATGATTTGGATGAATGTGGATTTTAAGGCTATTTGCTCTCCATTTTCTATTGTCCTAAAAGACAAAGCAGGACATATGTTCTAACCTACAGCACCCACGCTTCCACGCCAAGCAGCCCAGGTGGGAAAGTGGGAGGACTGAGCACAATGTCGTGGCTGGAATTAAGGCAATATATCATCTCCTTTTTCTTCCATGGCTGTTCTCATAACTCGAGGCAAATCCCAATAACATGCTGACCAACACTAGTTCCGTTTTAAGTCTTTTTTTTCTCTCTCTCTTCCTACCATGTGTATGTGTTTAAAGAACTAATTTACGTAGTATTAAGGTTGTTCGGCAGTCTGGTTGCCGCAAGTCTGAGGATGCTGGGAAGGTTCTACATTTCAGCCATGGTTTTGCGGTCAATAATGTCTGTGCACGGTATCAGGGCAAAAGGCCGAATGCATCAACGGTGAGATAGCTGGACAACATCGCATGGGATTCTGCATGAAAAGTGCATTCAGCTGCATCCGCGATGGCTCCACTTTAGATGCATAATATGCCATGTTCGCAATAAATTATGCAGGACAGCTCATCACCTGGTGGGAGATGGGGAAACATTATGAGGATGGTGCCCCCATAACCTTAAATGTGGCGCTGTTTCAGGCTCTCTGTTTGTGCAGGTATATCCATACGCTCCCGTTTCTGAAATGTCCATCTTTCCTGACTCCACTCTGCTGTTAATAAAGAAGGTTTTCTGCTACCAGCGGTTTTATTGATGAATTAGAGGTGCTGTCTTTAAGTATCAGAGGTGCTGCGATCTTCATGAGTCGCTCTTGCCGTTTGAAATCAGTGAATTCGCCGACGGGTGCAGATGTTCAGTAGGTCGGCTTCTCCTTTATCTCCGCAGAAATCGAGAAGGAGAGCTGCGGCGACCCGGGGACCCCCCTCTACGGGATTCGGGAAGGGACAGGTTTCTCCAATGGGGACGTGCTGCGCTTCGAGTGCCAGTTTGGGTTCGAGCTCATCGGGGAGAGAACAATCTCCTGTCAGAACAACAACCAGTGGTCAGCCAACATCCCCATTTGCATCTGTGAGTACGGGCTGCCGCTCATAGTGAGGATGGCTGAGTCATCATTGAGGGGGTGCACAGTTAGGTACAGGTGCAACAGAGAGAACCCTCAGAATAATAGAAAGCTGTCTAAACGTCAGACAGTCTGACAGCCATAGATTAAATGATTTAGTATTTAATTTAGTATTTAATTCAGCATTTTTCCATAATCTTATATATTGAAATATAATATTTTTAATATAAACTATGGTCTCATTTTTCATGGGGGAGGTGTGTCACTTGGGAGATTAGGACGCTGTGACCAGAAGGTCACTGGTTCGAATCCCAGGGTTGCCAAAATTATTTCACCTCTTGGCCTTGGCTCTTAATTCTAAGTGTACCAGGGATTATCTGACCCTGTTTTCTAAAAAAATGTAGTTTTGCATAGAAGCATGTGTTGAATTAATAAAAATGTGACATGTGACTACGTGCCCCTATAATGAAATGTTCCACGCAGAATCATTGCTATTTTGGGAAATAACACTTGACAGACTCACGGTCACGTTTCTGGATTAATTTTTCCATGTATTAGGCCGGTTAACCGGCCTAGTTAGGTGGTTTAAGAACCAGATTAAACCGGATTATACAGAAATAGATCCTGCCAGGCAACAATACAGTCATTCACAGACCAATTAAAAACCTCTCAATACAGGAGGGGTGTAAATGATGAAGTCATGCAGTCTGATCTACCAATTATCAGTGTAACATATATGTATAAGACCTTTTTCAAACACTTTAATTTGCATAATTCCATCGACAGGCTGTTGGAGTGCAGTAATGGTGCCACTGTTTACACAGCTGGTTTGCATCCCCACTTACCAGGCATCATGCTAAATAAACACGGCCGGCCCCTTCACACGCACATAGGAGGCTCACAGGTTGGCGTATTAAACAGCTGAGAGGGGGCTAATACAGCCAACTCGAGATAAAGTCAAAAGTCTGGGGATGCACAAAGGCGTGTGACAAGCAGCGAGATGATTCCACGTGTGAGAACAAAAATATGTATTTAAAAGATGGTGGCTCCTGTTCAAGGTGTCTTCATCCGTGTTATCGTCCTCTCTGCACAGTTCCGTGCTTGTCGAATTTCACCGCTCCGATGGGAACGGTGCTGTCACCCGATTACCCTGAGGGTTACGGGAACAACCTGAACTGTGTGTGGTTGATCATCTCGGAGCCGGGCAGCCGGATTCACCTGGCCTTCAACGACTTCGACCTGGAGGCCCCTTACGACTTCCTGACGGTGAAGGATGGGGAGCTGCTGGACTCGGCCGTGCTGGGCCGCTTCTCCGGGGCCGAGGTGCCCTCGCACCTCACCAGCAACACCAATATCCTGCGACTGGAGTTCCAGGCGGATCATTCGATGTCAGGCCGCGGCTTCAACATCACCTACAACAGTGAGTGCGAGCTTGTGGAACCAGCGTGGCAGGGGCGCGTGCCGAGTGGCGTGCCGAGTGGCGTGGCGCGATGGCGCGGCGTGGGGCTTGTCAAGCTAGCAGTGTCAACGTGGCCTCAGTTTTCAAGAGTGTGACACCAAACAAAGGCCTCCGCCAGGCAGCTGCCAGGTGTTTCCTGTCGTCTCCTCCCAGGTGCATCTCTCGGGGACGCCTGGCTTTGTGAAATGCGGCCAGGCTCTTGCTCTCACAATTCGAGCTGCCCCGTTCCGCTGACCTCCATGTTTCTGTGTTGCCGATTTGCAGGGATCCACGGCTGGCCTGATTTCACATGTGGAATCCCAAAAAAAAAATACGGTAGCACTTTATCTCACGGAATTACAATTTTTTTATCGATTTCTATCATTACCACCATTTTAAACACAACTTTCGATGACCGAATAGCATCATTAAAATGCAGAAAGCTGGCAATTTGCAAACAGCCTCACTATAGAATTTCATACGCTGCTCAACTGTTCTCTCGGAATAAATGGCATGTCCTCACAAATAGAATAGGACTCATGGCCCTCACATTCATTTGTTTTTGAAAATTATTCTGATGCAGAGGAAATCACAGAAAACATGTGTATCTCATTTAGCAGTTCTATCAACTCTCAAATTGACTTTTGTGTTTGTGATGCACAATAACTCACAATAACACAAGGATCAAATTAGGCATTATTCAAACTGTTTATTTCAGCACTGAACTGCTGTGGTTATGATACATCTTGTTTTTCCTTTTTGTTCAAGTGATTCCCAGGGTTAGCCTGAGAATCGATTTGAAGCCAGCTGTGGCAGTAATATCGACTACACTATGCATGTAGCATATAATACTGACGTTTATAAAATATAAATTTAATTTTATTATTGTTAAATTATGGGATGGCACAGTGGCGCAACGGTGAGCACTGTTGCCTCACATCTCTGGGACCAGGATTTGAGGCCCTGGTTCCATGATTGTGGAGTTTGCATGTTCTCCCCGTGTCGTCTTGCGGTTTCCTCCGGGTACTCTAGTTTCCCCCTACAGTCCAAAAAACATGCTAAGGTGGATTGGAGTTCCCAGGTTGTCTGTGTGTGTGAGCCCTGCATTGGGTTACGCCCCATCCTGGGTTATTCGCTGCCTTGTTCCTGTTGCTTCCAGGATAGGCTCCAGACCCTGCATAGGACAAGCGTGTATAAAAGATGGATAGATTACTAAATTACTAAATGAATTCCAAATTCTGGATTGACAGTGATCCTTTAGATTGTTTTGATCAATGTCAACATAATTTGGCTTTGCACAGTAGCACGTGGCTCTGTAATAACCACGAGAATACTCATCTATCACTATAGTATACAACACACAGTCTGTAATAGATGTTACATGAAATGTCATGACAACTCATCCAGTGCCTAAAAAAAGCCTGCCTTCTGTGACCATCACGCACAAGTCATTAGGGACATTGTAAGGCCTTGGTCGCTTGTGCGAATCACAGCCTTGTTTCATGTCGTCTGTAGAGGGGCTGTCAGATGCGTGATTGACTGCTGCTGGATTTCTTCTCTGACGAGTGTCACATGGGGCTCAAGGCTCTACCCTCATTTGAAGACTCGCATCCGTCGGCTTGGCTTTAGCGTGACGTTTAAGGGAATTTAGCGCCACCGGCTTCCTGGCTTTAGCGTAGCACCAAGTAGAGTCAGAGCTATATTTAGGCAAAGCATGCTTGCTGTGTCCCGTATCCCCATGGGGCTTTTGGACGCGTTAATCGGATGACCGTCTTACATTTGTTCCTCGGCGACGTGCACCTGGTCCACAGACACCGGCTGTCAGGCCCCAAAACGGGGTTTGCTGGCAGTCAAGGAGAACGGCGTCTGCACCACAAACCTTTGGAGGGTTCAGTCGTCCTCCAGGATTCCAGTTATCCGGCGCTGTCGTAGAAAGAAGGTGTCTCAAAACCCCGATTCTAGCCCAAATGTAAAAATTTTCAGAACTCGTCTTGTGTATTTTCGAACATATCTGCAGGATACGTCATAGAATATGAAGATGAAGTAGAACCTGCTTTGAAAGAAAGGGTTTATAAAAATAACTCATTTTTTCTACCAAACACCTGGTGCTCTCAAACACTATTTTTGATCGAGCCTCCAGTCACTTTACAGTAGCTGTGTGCCCCACATAGACCCAGTCCGAATATGCATCATGGATTGTGGGGGGTTTAAGCCACTTCTGTGATGTTTGCATGTTCAGTAGCACCCCAGCAGGGGTCCTGAACTGGAAATCTCCTAGGGCCTGAACCAGCAACCTTCTGGTCACAAGCCTATTTCATTTTGCCACTTCTACCACTGTGTACTTTGCCCTGAGGCAGTATCTATATATATATTCTTCACAATTTGACACAGAGTGGTGTTACTGCAGTTGGCTGCCATTGAGCTTGCAGGTATTTTTTATTTTATTTAATTTTTAGGTGTCAGCTTCAGAAACAGCTAGGAGTTGGTGTCCGCCATGTGTTTATATAACACTCGGTGCTGTAATTCCCTGTCTCTGGATACCGTGTGGTGGTGAGGGAGCCAAAGAAGCGAGAAAATTACTCCTTCAGAAATCAGTTATTTTTAAGAACATCATGACGGGGGCTGGTGAGGTGGGAGCTTGGAGGATGAGCCCATCTCGACGGTTCAGGTCCTTTCACATTAGTCAGCTCCAGAAAGTTCTGTGAAGGATTGTTGAGCGGTGCAGTAATTCGGCAATGCGATGTCAAAATAATGAAATAAAATGTGATTTATTGTACATCATTTGACTTTCTAATTTTCTTATGCAACAATAATGGTTTCATAACTGACAATGAATAAGGCTGTAAACCTGGCTTCATTTTTCTTGACATTAAGCTACCATTTGGATTTTAACAATAAAAAATATTAGATGTTTGAAAGATTTTTCGTTTATCGTAATTTCGTTCGTAATGAAAACCATGAGCCTCATTTCTCTTAACTCGTGTTAATGCTGCTGCTATCGCAATATATTCCATTGCACTTATTAATTTGTGACAAGGCCAACGTGACATCTTACTACCTCTTGCATTTAAACTCACTGTGCTCCAGAAAAATCATGCAATTCTCTGCTCTGTTTACATAATTTCAGCTTTTGGCCACAATGAGTGTCCCGATCCAGGAATCCCTATAAACGCCCGCCGCTTCGGAGACAGCTTCCAGTTGGGAAGCTCCATCTCTGTGATCTGCGAGGAGGGGTTCATCAAGACCCAGGGAGCGGAAACCATCACCTGCGAGTTAGACAACGGCATGGTGATGTGGAGCGGACCCATTCCCAAATGCGAAGGTAACGGTGATGATGACTCTACTTGAAAACAGGTTTCGGCTACATGGTCAACTAGCATTCTCACCCAGCAGGCATGTCTGAGACGGAGTCGGGAACGAGAGTCGCGGACCATCTGCCGCACTGGGTCCGGATGGCTGGTTTTCACTGCTTGTTCCTCGTGTTTACTGTGGTACTTTCATTCAAGTTTAAAAAACAGCAATTCATGGGAAACTGGAGATTACATAGGGGAGGCAATGGGGATTCTCATTCCTTGTAAATATTGCAATATGGGCATGTTATCTTAGGAAAGTTAAACTCGATGGAAGAAAAACATTAAAATTCTATATATGACATGTGTTGGTTCTGAGGAAGAAATGCTGATGATTTACCATTTTGAAAAATATTAAATTTTTACTTTCCGTTGCAAATCCACTGCAAAAACTTTCCTAATACTTTCAGAAACCGACTAGGCCCGCCATACACTAGCGTGTTAAGTTATATTATATGAAATGTTGCTGTTTCTTTGGTCCCTTCGATCCTTATTAATACCATGCAATTTTTCAGCTTTAAGTTATTTTCCTATTGTTTAATGTTATGTGCTGTAATTTGAGTCACTAGGAAAGTGTGAAAGGACCATCTGATATAAATGCAATACCTGACCTCAGCCACCATCTGTATTTCACAGTGTGCTGCAGCCACACTGTGGATTCTGTAAAGGTGATGTTAGTAACTCTTCTCTATTTTTATCCCTCTGTTCTGTGCAGCCCCCTGCGGGGGCCATTTTTCGGCCCCCAGTGGCGTCATCCTGTCCCCCGGGTGGCCGGGGTATTACAAAGACTCCCTGAGCTGCGAGTGGGTCGTCGAGGCGGAGACAGGCCGCTCCATCAAGATCACCTTCGACAGGTACGCATTCCCTATCGATACAGGCCTCGTCTTACAACCGTCCTGATGATGCGTGATAAAGGTCAGGTTATTTATACTTGTTGCTTAAATGAGTTTCAGGACTATTCGAAACATTCGTTCTTTTGCTCTTTGCCTCTCTTTCCTTGCCTGGCCTCATTGTGGTGATTTATATGCACATACACACACACGCACACAGGTTTGTAATTATATCTTTGTGGGGACTCTCCATTCATTTCTATGCGGAAAGCTCAAATCCCAACATGACGACCTTAACACCTACCCAGTCCTAACCTTAACCATAAGTAACCAAACAAAATACAAGACTTGTGGCATTTTTAGTCTTTTGATTGCATTCACAGATCTTTGTAGGGACCTGAAAAATGGACATTTTGTCCCCACAATGTAATATAAACTTAATCCACACACACACACTTCGTCTTAGCATTGGTATAAGTTGGTATATATGTGATTTATATATAGATGTATATAACAACAATTATGTCCGTTGTCCATTATCTTTTAACCCTGGCAGATTTCAGACGGAGCTCAATTACGACTTCCTGGAGCTTCACGATGGACCCAACGTTCTGTCGCCACTCATCGGCTCCTTCAACGGCACCCAGGTGCCCCAGTTCCTGTTCAGCAGCAGCAACCACCTCTACCTGCTCTTCACCACAGATAACAGCCGCTCCAACAGCGGCTTCAAGATCTACTATGAAAGTGAGCTAAGTGGCCACGTCTGGCCTTGGTCCCTGATGCTGGTCTGAGTGCTGCAGCACGGGTCCGCCCACTGGCAGCCTTTGTTTTACACTGTCCTTCAATCATTTCTGTGTAGCTGCTCCAGTATAACAACATGACAATATGAAAAAAATATATTAGCTTCACAGTAACACTCACAGGTAATGTTTTAAGATGGGAGTAATGGACCTGCGCAGTGTGCTGATTCAGGGGTTATGTATCCCTTCCAGGTGTCACTGTGGATACCTACTCCTGCCTAGACCCAGGAATCCCAGTCAACGGGCTGCGCTACGGCCAGGACTTCTCCATCGGGTCCACCGTCTCCTTCGGCTGCGATCCCGGCTACAGGCTGAACCACGAGGAGCCCCTAGTGTGCGAGAAGAATCACTGGTGGAGCCACCCGCTGCCCACGTGCGACGGTGCGTCTCCAATACTCCGCATGTGGCTTCAGGAATCAGATTCGTTGCCAGGGCGCTCAGGCATCAGAGTGATAAAAATGCAGACATCTTCATTCTCTGTAAACACATCCTACCTTGCCCCGAAGCCAAGTAATTGGACTTTTATTCAGCAAAAAAATGTGAGAAGGAGAAAGAGTAAGATAACATTAAGCTTTGCCCCATAAAAAGTGATAATGATGTTTCCCTCAAGACAACAATGGATCGATATCTGTCATTTAGCTGTGGACCTCAGGGTGCTGGACATAGTCTCAATGGGATTATTAAGAGTAATATAGAAGCCGATTTGTGAGGCTCGGAAATGTCCCTCACCTGAACCTTCACCTTAGACAGCACTGGCACTTACTTCCAATTTAGAGAACATATCAAAGGAGAAAAACATAGTGTACCTCTCTGTCAGAGAACAGCAAAGCTCTATACGGATAATCCAAAAAACAATATACCATACATGCATTATTATGACTGAATATATAACTGTCTACTGCTATTTGTTAAGGTCATGTTTTGACAGCTTTATTTTCAGATACAATTGTCGGAAAATGCTCATTTAACTTCTGATGAGTGTCCATGTCTTTGCCCGTTAAACACGTTACTAATGGTTAGCTTGCTGAGGACAAAAACTCAGCAGCACTTGCTTATAGCTATACAGGGACATCTGAAATACTGGTTAGTTTCTGTAACTGCTCCTGCAGTACAGAGTTGTGGGGAGCCTGGAGCCTGTCCCAGCCAGGGCAGGGTATGAAGCAAGGCGCTCCCTGGATGGGATGCCAGCCCATCACAGGAACCGCACATACGCCAATTTAGAGACACCCATGGAGCAAAGCTGCAGGACTGTGGACCCAGAGGAAACCCACACGAGTGTGGTTAGCGCATGCTAACTCAAACACACACAGTAGGGGCTACAAGTTATCACCACAACCCTGGAGGTGTGAGGCCAAGTCCACATCATGCCCCCCAGCAATAAACACCTGAAACTAAATCAGAGCTGTTCTAAACGAGCGGCGGATCTGTCCAGGCAGCACCCACGTAGTACGTGACAGAGTCATCTTGCAAGAAGCAGCTAATCTGTTAAGTCAGTGTTTCCAGTGAAGTGCCTGTCACTGGCCAGTGGCACATCCCCGCCGTGAAATTGCCAGTGTGGATTGTGAGCACCGAGGTGTTTGCAAAGCTGTGGCTGTTTTGCTGAGCCGGTGACATCTCAGGTAAATTGTAGCCGATGGAAGGGGAGTCGCGTCTCGTCTGATGAATCTTTTTAAGTAATTTGCGTCTCCTTTTTGATTTTATAGATTTAGCCAAACTGAGGCAATACAATTCAGCACAAGCCATTAGGCTGTCTGAAAAGGAAAATCAGAAAGGCAATTTAGTGTGATCGCTGCTGCGGCTGATGGGAACTGATCCCCACGCGAGATCAGGCATCCGAGGGGCAGGTTTTTGCAAGCCCAGCCTGTCATCACCCTGTAAGCGACTCCACAGGACACACGTCAGGGATGTGCATGCCGTAGGGGCACTGAGCTCTCGTAATAAAGGGCAGAGTGGCCCACAAAATGGCCGACATTCACCGGGCAGCTTCTGAGCATACAGTACATCGCTCTGGATCGAACAACAGCCGTCACTAACTCGAGGCTAAATGGGAGCTAGTCTTCAGAGAGGGGAGATAATCAAGTAGTAATGTTGGATTGTGGTAACGTTTCGAAGATGTTCTCCCCTGTATCTGGATGCCATTCATTATTAATCCAACAAAACAAGAAAAACTGGAGAGAAGATGGTGCTAAACAAGAACTATCTTTGGAAAGGAATGTTAACGCACCTCTTTTTGCAAAGCTATTTTTATGTATTCAGTGGAAAGTCTTCTACTGAAATCTGTCACTCGCTGTCAAGTCATGTGGTTCAGTTTGCCTGTCGTGGTTCAGTCTGCCTGTCGTGGTTCAGTCTACATGTCATGTGGTTCAGTCTACATGTCATGTGGTTCAGTCTGCCTGTCGTGGTTCAGTCTCCCTGTCATGTGGTTCAGTCTACATGTCATGTGGTTCAGCTCTGTGTTTCTCCCAAAGACAGTCTCATAATAACATGTCATGCCAGCACAAACATGCACAGCACTTGCATACAACATAATGCTTCTCCATGCACCCCCCCCCCAGCTCTCTGTGGAGGAGACGTGAGGGGACCCCGTGGGACCATCCTGTCTCCTGGATACCCTGAAATGTACCCCAACTCCCTGAACTGCACCTGGACTGTGGAAGTCAGCCATGGGAAAGGTAGAGCACACCCCCCATCCCCCCTCCCCACCGTATTCTTCCACCTGCTGTCCATTTATCAAGCCTCACAAAGGGCCGTGATTACTGCTGATTATGGCTGGATGATTCCTGCTGATTGTAGGAGGATATCGGAACAAGCTCTCATATTTTGAGGGAGTATCATATTCAGAGCACTTTTTATTGAGTAGCCATTTAATGTAAGTGCATTTACTTTTTTATATTGATTGAAGTTTAAGGACTGTTTAAGCACCGTCCGTTCGCATTGTTCTGTATGTAGGTTGAAAAGCCAGTATGGAAGTTACTGGACACGTACCATAGGTGAGCACCTTTGATGACTCAGATTATTAGTGGCAAGTTTCCAAGCCAGCGCAAAGACATTAGACACTATGGAGATCACGGGACATGTTTGGTTCAATGGGAAAAACAGTTGTAAATGCAGCCATACCCGCTGTTTTCATGTATTTAAATGTCTCCCAGATGGTGCTGAAATCTGATTGGTGGAAATATCACACCATACCTTAATCCTGTAAGAGGTTTTCAATATGAGTCAAACAGACCGCACTGACAGTTAAGAGACAAATAAGGTGTGGATTCTCTCACCTGTGATCATAGCACCACCTGCCACCTCCCAGGCAGGTACCCTGAATACAGATTCTGATACCGTTCCCCGACACATCTCTGTGAAATGTCAGTATTCAGGCTCCAAGTTCAATATACTGAAAGTTCCCAGGCAGGAATATTCATTTTCCGTGGCTGCTAATGCATTCAATACGGAAAATCACTGTGCCCCTCGGATCAAGTGTCCAGAATGGAAATAGAGTTGCTACTCTGCTTTAAATAAAAAATGTTATTTTAAATGACCTTATGTCTCTCATACGTATGATGGAACATTATTAGTGCTCTGTCCCTTGCTAGAACTAATTCAATTTCAATTTAACGTAATAGTTTCAGCAAAACAACTGCAAGATGCTCAGAGTTTATAACTACTTTGCCGGAACCTTCACCTCTGTCTTCTCTCGACAGGAGTCCAGTTCACCTTTCACACCTTTCATCTGGAAGATCACCATGACTACCTGCTGATCACGGAGAACGGCAGCTTCACTCAGCCCCTGGCCCGTCTCACGGGGTCCGACCTGCCGTCCGTCATCAACGCCGGCCTGTACGGCAACTTCAAGGCTCAGCTACGCTTCATCTCTGACTTTTCCATATCGTACGAGGGGTTCAACATCACCTTTTCTGGTAGGTGTTTCCATCGGACATGATGGTCCCACACTCTGCGCTAGAGAATATTTTCGCCTCCTTAATTCACACGGGTCTAGAATTTCACTCAAGGGCTTCTCTGCACATCCAAGTATCTTAAGCTGCAAGATGTCCTGAATTAGTAATCACTGATAAATAATACATGATAAAGATGTTCATTTCAGTGAGTCCTCATGGAGATATTTTTGCATAGAAACATAAATCAAGATATGCCATTGATCTTTTACTGTTATTTTACATTTCTGCACAACAGGGTATGCACTCCATACCGAGCGGAAAAGTAGGGATGTAGAATTCAGCTAAAGAACTGTGGATGCTTTCACCCTTTTTCAGGATAAAATGTAAACTGGTGGACAAATACACTAGCTTAACACATTTTGAATGTCAAGTTATTCATCAGATTTAACAGATTTTTATGGATTTTTTCTGTAAAATTTTGCCCCTAACATTTTTCACAGTGTCCAGATAGAATGTGAAATGATTTAAGTATTTCTCTGGTAGCTAACCTTGCTACCGGGTATACCAGAGTACAAAAACCATAACTGCAAACTTACCAATCAAAGCTCAACATTCAGAGGCAAAGTTTTAAAATAAAATTTCAGGCCTGAATGCCCAGCTCACCCTCCGCTGTGACTTTGAGATGGGAAGTGTCTGTGAATTCTTGTCTCCAGGCACTGACCCAGCATCAGTTCGTGAGAGAAACTTTAGTATCCAGTATTCTGTCATGTGACAGATTGTTTCCCCAGTGATAAGCATGGTTCTTTGTCATAATGGACATATATTATATTGCTGACAACAGTAGCTTGTACTGATATTGATTTGAGAGTGCGAGGGATCTATCCCTGATTCATGCAGAATAATATACCTACCTTAAGTTCTATCTTTAGCTTTAAAGCTTGCTGATGCAGCATTTTCCATTCACAAGCCAAACCTACTTTCCTTTAGAATTGAAAATATAGATTTTTTGGGTGGGACATATGCCTAATATTGTCAACATAAAATCATGCGCAGGCCTAATTCTGCATTCGTCCATCTTGTCCCATCTCATTCATTTTTTCCCAGAATACAATCTGGAACCGTGCGAGGACCCAGGGATGCCACGGTTCGGGCGGCGGAACGGCTACAACTTCGGCATTGGTGATACTCTCAGTTTTTCCTGCAGTATGGGTTACCGGCTAGAGGGGGCGCCAGAGGTCGTATGCCTTGGGGGTGGCCGCCGGATGTGGAGCGCACCTCTGCCAAGGTGTGTGGGTACGTGGTCACCTGCTTTTATTTGCTTGTATTCTTTGTTTGCCTGTGAGACGACACATGGACACTTGCCAGTCGGTTCTATACGAAAGGCATTAAACGCTCCGCCGCAGCCATGCTTGGCATCTATTCGAAAGCGCATTTCCTGAATTAGAAGACCACCTTACGTCCTCTGCTGGTATGCCCATACCTTGCTCATGGTGGTATAGAAGTACAGTGCTTCTTGAACATAGATAACCAGTTAGGTTATGTACTATCAAGCAAGTCAGACACAATGATAATGATGAAATGCAGGTGGGGGGGGGGGG